GGAAAGAGCTGGTGGGAAGAGGCTGTGGAGTCGGCTGTTTTGCTATCTGTTTGGGCAGCAAGTTTGAGGACTGCTTGAGGGCATGGATAATTTGCACTTCCTTACTGTAAATAAACCTGAAGGGGTTAAACTCATCCTTTTCTTCCTAATGATGTGGCATCTCAGTCTGGCTGCAATGTGATGAAATAACTGAGTAATGATGAATGTTCATGCTCAGTTTGCGAGGTGCACGTACCCTCACTGCTGGCTCAGTCTTCGGCTGTGTACAGCTATGGTGGGATTGCACTAGACAAAGATGTCTTGGTTCCGGTTCCTTGTAAAGCATTAAGAGATGCCTTCCCCCATCAGTATAATGTCAATAAATGATTGTTTTCACATGGCTCAAACAAAAGAGCAAATGAGCACCAAAACCTGAAAAGTCATGTGTCAAAATATATCGTCTTATTGGGAGCTCTTTTTCTGCCTCGATTGTTATTTCTGTTTCAAGGGAGCTTTGAATTGATTCCTGAACACACTCTTACGACTTTGACTTCTTTGCTGGCTGAACAGAGTTCTTGCCCAGAATTCCTGAGTTTATATGAGCCCACAGTTCTCCTTCCCATAAATGTTTTGTTTCTCTGTGGCTGTTCTGGTCATCTGCAAAGATAAGGAGCCTATGGCATTTCTAGTCTGGAGCTAGGCTTGATTTTTTTTTTTTTTTTTTAAGGGCCTGCCTTTGCCCTATGAATCTGGATTTGGTGGCCTTGTTTCTTTTTAATGTTTCTGCTGATGCTGTGAATCTCTTAAGCCATTAATTAATCAGCTTTCACCTTTTCCGGAAAGCCTAGTGTGCCATCTATTATGCACACTTCTGTCTATTTGCTACTGTCTCTCTGAGTTCCTGAAACTCTAATTAAACTAGAGGTTTCCCCATCCCACCAGCAGCTGTAACCTATAACAAATGTCTGCCTTGTTGTCAGGGAGCTCCAGTTTGCCTGCCTTTCTGCAGGGGCTCTGGCAAGCTTTCCTTCCTCCATAGAGGCACCCTCTTAGTAAATGCCAAAGGATACTTTTTGTTCGTTACTAGCAACTGCTGAAGAATTTAACCCTCACCAATATCTTGATCAAATAGAATGAGTGGTTGCCTGCTAGCTTTGCATCTCCAAAGGATGTTGTCCTTAGTGCTTTACATTTTTACAAAAGAAATAGAAACTGTAGTAGCACTGAACATGTGTAGTGTTGATTATTTGTAACCTCAGCTATCCGACGCTCTGTGCTGGAAGGCAGGAGAGCATGCTGTGTTTAAATGCCGGTGACTGTCCTTTGGGCCCTTCTGGGCTTTAGTCAAAAGAGCGGAACTTGAACATGCTGGAACTGCAGTTCGGGCAGCTTTTACTGAGCAATGTATAACTGAGGAGCTGCAAATGTGAATGGCTTGGTTGATATGACTTCTGTGCTCATGTCAGGTCTTTTTATCCACTACAGAGTACGACTCTGGGATGTGTTCCCTGTACAAATTACGATTGAGAACAATCCCAGCTGCTTAAATGTGGCACAGATCTCTGCTCCAGGACTTGGCTAGAAAACTGCCTGGGTTTCCCATAATAGGGGGAAACATGGCAGTTTCTTTTGCTGATAGCTCTGTAAACTAATCTTTACAGGGCAATCAGGTATTCTAATAGTATATCCCAACACAAACAGCTATAGAAATCTGGCAATCTGTACTGGTCTGTTCTCAGTCCTGCAAAACGAGCTGTTCTTCCTAGCAATAGTCTGACCCTGTAAGCAAAGATCAAAGTGCCTGTTAAGGAAATGTTAAGGATGAAATGTAATTTCTTGTGGCTAACTCCTGACAGCCTTGGGGAGGGTTATTTCCTTCTTGAACCATTTTGGTTCATGTACGTAGGTCTTGAAATAAATAGGACCCAAAGTGATTACCTCCCCAAAATGGCAATGAGCCAGGCTGTTTTAGATGGATCCCATGATCCTCCACATACACAGTTTGATATTCTCTCCGAGAGTATCGTGGCACAAGTTCTGTCAGAGATTCCAAGTTACCTAAGCTGTTCAGAGCAGGACTTTAAAGTGCATATGGAAGAACTGCAGTAGCGAAGGGCTTGGTATGTGGTGCATAGTGCAGGGGTTTAGAGATACATTCCACAAGCCAGCCTTTGTTCCTCTGAAGATCCTTTGCCTTTGAGAATCTTACCAACAATTGCAGCTGGAGTGGGAAGTGCTTTTCACATTTCCATTCTGGTGTGAAGAGACCCCTGAAAATAAAGCTTTAAGCATGGGTATGAGACAGAGCCATAGTATAAGGTAGATATCAATAAAACAAGCATCACATCCCTCTTCTAATGATCTAAACTTTTATGTTAGTTGCTTCTTTCTCAGCACTTTGAAAACACAAGTACCAGTTGACAGCATTCCCCTATTACCTTTACCCATTGGTTCTCAATGATATACTAGCACTAGTAAGGACATAAAACAAGTTTAATGACTTGCATGGCTTAAATTCCCTTCAGTATTGCTAGAACTCATGCCCAGTTTGCTCTCTACAGCTTCTTTTTCAGAGAGAGTGCGGAACATGTCTCCAGATGAGATCAAAATCCCTCCTGAGCCTCCTGGCAGATGTTCTAACCACTTGCAGGTTGGTATAAGTCCACCTTATTTTTTTAACAGGCTTGAAATTCAGTAGGGAGGGGGGATATTTGGGAACTCTGCTCAGTATTTTTGCACAAATCAAAAACCCAGCATTAAAGCTGCATTTTTACCACACGGAGTTTATGAATGTATTGTGTTAATGCTTTAGACTTTACAGCAATTCTAGTTCAGGAATCTCAAAGTAGCTTAAAGCTGTTTTCCAGTCTCAGTGGGTCACTTATGCTTTAAAATGGCTCTTGATACCACCAGTGACACAGAAACAATGTTTACTGTGAAGGCTGCTATCCTCTTACCTCAGCAAATTCAGCTCTGTAGGAAAGAACAAATCATTGTTTTTCTATATGGGCCTGAGAATCCTCTAACTGGAATAGTTGAGGCAGCATTGACTGGATTCCTTTTCCACCTACATATCTCTAGATGATAAACATTTAGAGGGAAGGCGAGTAACTTAGAGGCAGCAAAAGAAAACAAATGCATGTTTTCTCTGGTGCACACCCAAATAATTGCAGTAACCAACTTCGCAATAACCTTCTGTGCTGTTTTCCTCCTCCTGATGGAGAGCAAATGAAAGAGCAGGGGCTGCTCTTTCCTACCACCCATTTGAGTTTTAACTGCAGTTATCTGCCCAGTAGAAACACAAGTAAAGAGTCACTTCTGGAATGCTCTACAGAGTAAGCTATTAATGTGCAATGGTGATTCAGAATGACTCACCATCCAGATCACCCTTTCTTCTTCTCCGCATGGTGTACCTGGGCACACCCATTCCTCCCGTTGTGCTGTAGGAGGACTTTACTGTTCTGACATCAGTGAATTAGAGTGCGTTAGATCTGAGGAATGCACAGAGCTTGAGACAGTAGACAGAATAAAGCAGATTTTCTTCCCCTTTGACAGCAGTTTACTATGTTAAATCAAAGGAGAACTTGTCCTCTGTTAGCAGGTCAAACCACATCTTAGAGCACTTTGAGTGAGGAGATGGGATTGTTCTTTAGAGATGCAAAATGTTGTAGGCTTTTTACTGTTTATTTGTTCTTTCCTTTTGTCAGATTCTTCCTCTAATAAACTGTATCTTGAACTCTGCCAAAGGGAGTATTTCTTATTATAAAGTTGACCGAGTAGTTCCCTGTCTGTGGACTTTGTGAACCACGTTGCTACCTCCACAGGGAGGGGACAAAAGGGAACACCTATTTAATAATTTCTACTCCCCAAATTCGCCTTTTTGCAGTTGTTCCTTCAAACCTCACGATGTGTGCGCTGCATGTGGAGATTGTGTAACTTCTTGCTCATTTTGTGAGGACCTGATGAAAATTTATCGTGTAAAGTTTTTTTTTAAGGTTGATGAAATAGGAGTTCTGTATCAGCTCTTAACAATCCTCTCTTATTCAGGTGTTGGCAAACTCTTAGACAGTAGTCCAGTATTCGAGTTGACTGTCCATATGGAGGGAGACATGAAGTGATTTATCCAGAAGCAACAAAGGAAAATTGACTCAACTCTCCCATCCTGAAAGACTGAAGGCCTAGCCTCTGGTCTTATTTTATATGCCTCTTGTACATGAAGAAATTTGTGTCAAAAAGAAAAGATGAAGGAAATTACTGAGAATATTCTCCTAGTAGTACCACTGAAGTTTATGTTCCATCTGAAAGTTTCTGCTTTTGCTATCCCTTCAGCATCATCAGAGTAAAAATACTTTTAAGGTCTTTCACTACCTTGCTGAGGAAGAAAAAAAAATCATGTTTATTTTTAAATCTTTCAGACTTTTTGGAGAGTAGACTGCTTGACATTTCCAACCTGACTCAATGAAGTTGCCTTTTGCAGGGGCTTGTGGCTTCAGTAAGATATCCATAGACTTTGTAACTGTGTGAGTGGTCTGCAAAGAGAAGCTGATTCCATCAAACTGTCCACTTGTGCCCAAGCAGAGATTTACAAGTGCATTGTTCCTAAGAGCGTTTGGCTGCCAGTAGACACCACCAGCAATACCTGATGATCACATTGGGTTTAGTTCTCCAGCAGAACTTGGCTCTGCTCATCTGTTAACCTGGCATAGCCATGAGCCTTGCCTTCTGTGCAGTGTAGCCCAGCAGCTGTTTTTCAGGTGCACACCTGTGTCTGAAGGTGGGTGTGATGGTCACTGTAAGTCTTGGGAGAACCTTTGTGGAGTTCACCTATGCCCCTCAGAGCTGGCTTCTACTTCCCTACAGTCATAGCTATAAAGGGAAAGAACAGACTGGGAAGAAGGAGCGTGCACTACTGCCTCAAATGCAGATCTTCGATCACTGAAGCCTTCAGAAGGTGCAAAGATCAATTCTCTTACCCATCCAGACAGTTCATGAAGATATTTTCAGACGTTAAAGGCGGGTGTGTCTGTACTGATCAGCCTGTCTGGCCTTAGGGGAGAGGTGGAATCCTTGTTCCATGCAAGGAGGTCACTGGTTCAGTTGATTTGTTTGCACATGTACACTTTTGTTAGTCAGCTGGTGTGCTCCTCCTTTTCGTACTGGCTCACCCTGTAATCTTTCTCCTTTAGGATAAAATTCAAAAGCTATATGAGAGGAAAATAAAAGAGGGCATGGATATGAACTACATCATTCAGAGAAAAAAGGAGTTCCGCAACCCCAGGTGAGCCACCATCTTTTCCTGTGTGACAAAGTACCACAGAGCAAATTCCGAGAATTTTCTTCTTTGTTGGAGTCATAGCAGAAACAGGATCCTGAGCAAGAAGTACTACTGCTTACAAAAATGAGAAAGACATAATTTGATCTTAACTGTAACAGTAAAACTCCTCTTTGTGTTCTGTGAGGCAACAACCAGAGTTGGTGTGTTGGTTAGATTTTAAATATACAGGCTTTGGTTGAAGTATTTAGAAGATGTGTCTGTTCTGGGAGCTGGAGGTTAATTTGGGAGAAGCAGGAAATAATGTGGTTAATGGCATGCCACATCCATCATAGCAAGCGTAGCTTCCTAGGTTCTGATTTTACTCTTGCAGTGTGAAGCGGTGACAACCTCTTTCTACTAACAAATCTGAAACGCTTCCATTTACTTCTAGCTCACTGGCTGTGTTACGAACTCTTGTCTTTCCTTTGCAGCATCTATGAAAAGCTGATCCAGTTTTGTTCAATTGATGAACTCGGTACAAATTATCCAAAGGTGAGGTGCAATACTTTTGACTGGCAGGGGAGTGAGTAAAAGATAGTATAGGGGGGTGTAAGGTCTTACCTTGGGCTTTCTTGAGCATGCTTGTTTAGAGGTCCTTTTAGGGAACTTTAGTCTGCATTGAAGTGAACATTTTTATGTGGTACTGAGCCTCAGTGCCTCCAGCTTTGCTATAATGATTCTGAACAAAACCAGCTGAAGTGTGTAGATATAAATGAAACTCCTGGAGGGGATAGAAGCTGAGCAGCAGGAAAATGCATGTCTTATCCCAGCATCCTTTTGGCTTCAAAGCTGTTTCTTCATTCACAACAGAATGTGGTCCTATAAAAGAAGGTCTGATGTGACCTTTGTGTCACTGGGATACAAGAAGAAATCAGTAATGAATATCATCAGTGAAGAGAAATACATAAAGCATTTTTTTAACTGGGTTTTGTATATGTGGAAATGGCCCTAATCTGACTTATTTTTTTCTTCTTTAGGACATGTTTGATCCTCATGGCTGGTCAGAGGATTCATATTATGAGGCACTAGGTAATTCCAGGGAGTCTTCTTTTGTCCTAACTTAGCTCTTTGTGTTTTGTGGTTAATTAACTGCACTAGAGTCTTCACTTCCTTTATAAATGAGAAGTCATCACATGCTGCTCTTGAACGACTTCTTTCTGGTTGGATGTGCCTGAATGTTATTGATGCTTCATCAGTCTGGAAAGCCTTTTCATTTAAAGTGGTTCTTCAATGTTTTCATCTCTTAAATCATTAATTTAGGGCAGTAATGCTTTGATTAAAAAGCAGTAGTTAGTTTCATGGCAGCTTAATTTTCTATACACAGTTTGAAGTTTTTGATTGTTTATGATGGGAAGTGTGTGAATGAGAACTATGGATTTTTACTGTTCCTAGTGCTTCTTGTAACTTCTGATCTTTTTCAGCTAAAGCCCAGAAGATTGAAATGGACAAACTAGAGAAGGCCAAGAAGGAACGCACAAAGGTAGCTATTCAAAACCAAAAGAGACTGAGATGCAGGGTTTTTGTTTGTTTCCCTGCTGAATTTCGTTTTGCTGCTTTGCTGTTTCTTAGGAACTGTGCTCTGTGCTAATACTGTTTGTTTTTCCCTGGTTCTGTCCTTTCTTCTTGCATGTCTTTTTCCAAGATGCACAGATCAAGTTGTTTGCCCTTCCTTATAGGTCCATTTCTCTAGGCTGTTTAGTCAACTCAATTTCCTTCTGTTTTGTCAGTATTTTTAAACCAGAGCTCTTAAAATGGTATTCAGTAAGCCAAATACAGGCAAGATAATGCATAAAGAACAGCTTTTTTTTTTCTTCATCTGTGACACTTTGCCTGGAGGCATAGCCTAGTTACAGCTTCATTTCTTCACCATATCTCATGTGAGACAATATCTGCTTTCTGTTCTCGTTGATATTGCCTTCTTGCATCTAATTTCCAGAAATGTTGGGCCTATTTTAACTTTAACTGGGCTTGTTAAAAAATGTACATTCTTATGTACCCCCCAAAAAGAACATAAAACACCCCCCCCCCCCCAAAGCCAAAAAGGCTTTGGAAGATTTTTATTCCTGTCCTTCAGTGGTGTTGCCTTTAAGCAAGTGGCTGGCATTAGAAAACTGTCTAATGTTAGAGATTGCCATCTAACCTTACAGAAGGCTCCTTACATATTCATTATGTGGAGGTATTTTTTTTCTTGCAGTGCATGCTGTGTCTTGCTACTTGTTTTGTTTTTTGCACAGTAACCCAGGTATCTGATTACTTCCTTGCCCATATCTGCAGTTTTGAAAATATAAGACTGCATGCTGTTGTAGCTTTTGTTGCTAGGTTTCCTGCTATGATGCAGTCGCAGTAAATCATGCAGGTAGCGACTTGTCTTGCATGTTTCTTAAAGGAAAAAGAACAAGAACTTCTAACTGTATAAATACATTCTTTAATGGCCAGGATCTGTCCTTTCTGAGCTATACCAAATTCCTATGCTTTTACCAGTTAACACATACATTTTTATCATATCTGATTTAGGAGCTGGGTTGCAGGAATCCTTAATGATCATGACTTCAGTACGCTTTGGCCTGAGGTCTACATCTTTCTTCCTGCATGACAGTCAGCTTGGAGGCCAGTGTCTCACATGGCACTAAAGCTGTTCTTTAAAAACATAGAGAGGTGATGTGGGTTAAAAAAAGACTATATATATTAATACTGCATTTTTATCTTCTCCCCTTTCTCCTGTGTGTCTGTCCCTTCCCAGATTGAGTTTGTGACTGGCACTAAAAAGGGTACAACAACAAGCGCTGCCTCTACAACAACCACAACAGCCAGTACCACTGTGGGAGGTAAAGAACAGTTGTGATTGTACCTATTAAGCTGCAATAATGCTGGGATTAGTGCTTCCTGGAAACCCTGAAGGCTCCTTATTGATTGTATGTATAATGCAAGAAAGTGTTTCTTCTTGGGGTTGATGGACTAGCTTTCCTCTAGTCCCTATATCCTATGGCTGTCCTTGTGGAATGAAAGACTAGGAGCAGGTGGGACAGTGAAGAGGTTTATTACTGGGTCAAGAAACCTGCTGATGTCTATGACTGTAGAGTGTTCTTGGGACTCGTACATCTCAAGAGATTCGGAAAGACTGAAAATCATTCTCCTGCCTGCAGCCTGCCTTTTAAACTGGGAGGAAGGGAGAAAAAACACTGGAGGCTGTGTCCTGTGCCCGTACCTGAGCAACTGAGATCAGCGTGCTCTGTTAAAATTAAATATGCTTTGGGGCAGGGAGTGAACCTGCCTCCCAGTTGGCTGGAGTTCAGGTGCAGAGTTTTACTTTTGATTCTTGAGGTATAAAGTTGCCTTTCCTCCTCAGCGTTTACTGCCAGTGTATGCTGAAATTAATGTGAGGGAAAGTTGTCTAGTCAAGCTGTGGTATATTAACAGTTGACAAGACAGGGTGTTACGAAGGGATTGGTGACCTTTAACATAATGCTAATTCTCTTTTGCTTATCTAATCAAATTCATAGATGCCCAGAAGAGGAAGAGCAAGTGGGACTCGGCCATCCCTGTAACGACAATAGCTCAGCCCACCATCCTCACCACTACTGCAACACTGCCAGGCGTTGTCACAGTGACAACCAGCGCAAGTGGATCCAAAACTACAGTCATATCAGCTGTTGGCACCATTGTGAAAAAGGCAAAGCAGTGACTTATGTGCTGGGCTTGGATTTTTGGACTTGTCATTGAAGCCATTGTTCTCGGAAGGGAGGGGTAGCTTTCACCTTTGGTAAAAGATGACAAGATTCTTTGAAACAGACCACAGTTCCCTTTTGAAAGAATGGGGGCAGGAGCAGGCATGCCAGTTGTGTGCCCACAGGAATGGACCTCTGCCGAAAATGCCTCTGTCTTTTCTTGCTGTGGGAAGAACCAGTCTGTGTGTGTCGTGCTGGAGGAGGGCAGTATCTGGAGTCAGCTTGTAAAAGTTAGCTTATTAAATTACTGCGTTAGGTTCTTCTTTCCTACTTGCAAGTCTGGCTTGGGGCGGGAGGAAGGGGAAGGCAAGTAGTGAAGGAATATCAGTATTACCCTCGTGTATTCCAGGTCACGCTCAAAGGCTGCTAGCAGCTTGTGATATGTACCTCCCTGATGTGTGCTAACTCAGTTCCAAGGGAATTAAAGCAGAGACAATTAGTCAGTGTCCATCTTCAAATGTGTAGCAGAGACTTGAAGTGATCTACATCTATGAATGTAGACTCACTCTTTGTTATAGTACTGACATCTGTACCCGTGCACGTATCTGTGTAGATCTTAGTGACCACGTGTTAAATAATTGAACTGTTGAGGAAACTATGCTAAAATAGTCTTGTTACCGTCTTGCAGGGATGGAGATTCCTATAAGCTGTAGAGGTTTGATTTGTGAACTCATTTGCAGAGATAACTCTTCCATTACCGTGGAATGAGATTGGACAGCAGATAAGCAGAGGAGAATGTCTGATCTTGATTGTGATATTGTCCATCTTCGTACTAGATAGTGATGTACTGTGAAATGCACACATGGCAGTTACTGCTTGCTCCACTGTTGTGAAAAAGTATTTTCAATTGAAAATTTTATTGTCTAAATCTTCTTACCTATGTAGCAAAAAATTATTATAAAAATGGAAAAGTCTTTAAAAAAAAAAAAACAACACCTGGTGTAATTCATGTGTCTGCATTTCTCGTCTTGGCGAGGGAGAATCAGTATCCATTTGTTGTGCTTTAGGTTACAGCTACCATTAGGTGAGTATGTAATAATTCCAGGGGGTGAGGGGGAGTAGGGGGTTAAAGGTGTTTTCACATTATGGATTTTTTTTTAAATCTCAAACTCTGGACAGGGAATAAATTGAGGCATTAAACTCAAATTTTGGTTGGAGATACTTTTGTTGTAGAGGATGTTCTGAAATGGTTGGTAATTCAGCCGTTCTTCATGCTATTTTTTCAAACCTATTCCTGCATCTTAAACTTCTTCAAAAGTTACTTTCTAGTACTAGCACCTGGGTGGGTCTTCCATAAAACTTTCATCTATAGAGGCCAGTCTCCTAAAAAGGAGCTTAACAGCAAATGAAGTGGTTTGCTCACTGTTTTGAGGTAGGTGGGATAAATAACTTGAATGGTTCCATTTGTGTAGAGAAACAGCTGCTAACTTGGACTTTTTTCTTCTTTGCAGTGGTCACTCCAGATTATTTAAATGGCCTTTAATTCTTAAATTGTGATTTTTCAGATTCAGTAATTTTTCTGTTTCCCATTGTAGTAAATTAAATTTCTACCCAGAGCCTGTTTTTTCTAGTGCGTAAACACTGATAGGAGAGAAGGTTGCTAGATTAGCAGAAGTGTAAATTTCTTAGAATCCAATGTTGCTTTTTCAGGTTTTTATATACCTTATCACTCCTGATCCAGGCTTTGCATTTATGGAGACTTAAGGAAGATATAAGAGGATGGTTTCCCGCTTTTAAATAATTTTAAAACGTGTTTAAACACTTTGTCTTGGCAGTCATTTTAGCTTTAAAAAAATCATCTGTGTATCCAAGAATGCTCATGGGGGAGAAACCAGGGGACTGATGAGACTGCAGTGTGGGAAATTGGGGAGATGGTGGAATTGCTCTTTTTTTAAAACAATGAAACATTGAAAGGCATGAAAATAGCACAATGGAAACATCTCTTCTGTTAAATTACTCTGCATTGGTCTTCTGACTTGATTCCTGCAAGCCTTAACTCCATCCTCACCCTATGGAAGACAGTAACAGCTCCCTTGGCTGAGGGGTATCTTCTGTTTTGGGACTGTTGTGTACTCTGCAGAGGATGACACGTTTCACCTCAACTATTTGAGGTGTTTATTTCCTTGCCTTGACGAACAGAGTTTTCAGGGGTTTTCTTTAAAGGCCAACGATGTACTTCTGGTGGCAAATACAAGCCATTAGGTAGCTTTGCGGCTCTGTAAGGTGACTCTCCTGTCTAGAATGTCTCATATAATTCCACCTGATTTAAAAGTTTTATGGTATAAATATCTGTGTTCAGCAGGACTTTAACAACATGTGGATGAAGGTACAACAGTAAAACTGCAGCAAAGTGGGCACCAGCTGCTGCAATTTCTCTCAGACTGTAGATTCATGACAAACTTTGGGTACCAGAAGGATCACTGCAATTGTCTTCTCCTGTGAATAGGGGTGGGAGGTGTGGCTGGGCTTCTAGGACAACTAACATTCCTCTATTGAGTATCCTTAGTATGTGTGCTGTGAGCAAATCTGAAGCTGATATTAAATCTCTCATTGAGATGTGTGCCAGTACACAGAAATGCAGCCTGGTGCCAGAGGTACCATCCAGTCTTGTGCACCCGCTTCCTCTGTCCGGTCCATAACTAACTGGTGGTAAGCACGAAGTGGGAGAGTCTGAGGATACTATGTTAATTTAACAAAATTTACAGATTAAGTAAATTATAATGGAAAAGATTTTGTGCCTTTTGTAAGAACTGATGGTCTTTTGCCTAATGTCTTATGAGTCCTTGTAAAGTTGGATCAGAAGTGGTCACTGTCTCCTGGTAGACAAAAAACCCCTTGCAAGTGTAGGCTTTTTTCGGACTGTTCACATTACTGTGAGGTGAAATTCCTTCCTGCCTCTTGCTTCTGCTCAGTTTCTCACTTTCTGCAGTAATTTGGAAAGACTGTCTTCCGTGGAAGTGAATAACTGCATCTGACTGATAATGCAGTAGAGGTAATTCTTGATCCTAACCAGGAACAGCTGTGCTAGGTGAAGTAGCTTGCTTACAAGGAAATATTATTTATACACCTAGTTAAGCATGTCAGCACTTGTTTCTTTGTATGCCCTACCATATCAGGGGGAGAAGAGTAGCAAAGGAAAGTGTGTGAATGGTTTTGTTTTTTTTTTTTTTTTAAAAGCTGCTGCCAGATTGCAGCTGAACACAAACCAGAGGAATAGGTTTGCAGGAAGAGAAAAAGGACATGATTAAAAAAATACATAAGAAAGTGCCATCTGCAGCTGTGAATATGAAGCTGGGCTCCAGCCTGTTTCTTGGCATCTGACACAGGGCAACTGCTGGAGTTCTTGGGGATGAATCATTTAACTACAGAAGCTACTGAACATTGTTTAAAGGCAAGTATCTTGTTCATATCGCACATCCTGGCACCCCACCCCTTCCTCTTTCATGCGCCCTCTTCCTTCTTGCTCTGCAGTATCCATAGTCATTCCAAACCTCTGGATTTCTTTGCAGACTTTATGATCAGAGCTAGGAAACACTGCTCGTTTAGCTCCTGCCTTGCTGCGGCAGGCAGGGAGTGACAATGTCCAGCAACTCTGGAGCAAAAAAAATGCTGATCAGCAGGGCTTGATGATGCTACATAGAGGGATAAGGAGAAAACTTCCTAAAACTAGCTCTGCTGAAGTGTGCTGAGCGTGAGGCACCTGGAGCAGCAGTTTTCCAACTCCTGCAGTAACAGGCTTCTGCAAGAGACCTGGCTGAACTGGGCTGCGCTCTGACAGCTAACCCCTGAGCTCTCGTGACTGAGTGTTCGCAATCTGCAGCGGAGAAAGCGACTCGAAACATGCATAATTTGTTGGTTTGGGTTCGTTGTTTGGGGGGTTTTTTCCCCCCTCTCTCCTTTCCAAAAAGCTGGAGTGGAGATGCCAACCATTGTATAACAAACTTGCAGCCAGTACAATAGCTTGCTGCTTTTGTTTATCTTGCATGTTGCTATCGGAAGTAGCAGACAGATACACAGGTTGGAAACTACAGTTCTAGGAAAAAGCCTCTTTCCTACCTCTGAGAATGTGATCATATAGGTTGGTGGCTTGCACTTGGCTGTGGTTGGTCAGTGCACCAGAGAAAGGTGGAGGGAGCTTCAGGTGTGCAAGAGCAACGCCCTGAGGGAAAAGGGTCCTTTCCTGGCCCATGAAGCCACAGCCTGAAGCCCTCAGTTTGACTAGTTTGCTTGTTAGAAATCTCTACAGCTGTGATCATACCAGGGCTGTGTGATGGCTGCTGAGAGCTGGAGGGACCCGCAGAGTGTGTAAGTGCCTGTGTTTTAAACAGCCCCTGAGAACTGCACGCTGTGTTCAAGCTGCGCTAATGCAAACTCATAGCTTACATGGCTAAAGGTTCTTTATGCTGCTGCTCAGGCTGCACTTCTGAGTCCTAAAAGCTTTAGATATTAATTCTTACCCCTCCTCCTGAGGAGAGACTAACTGTACCTGGGAGAGTAAAACCAGTCCCATTTTTGTTATTCATTAGTCTGAGAATTACAGGCTCATGCTCCTTGAAAACCACGGGGCTCCTTTCTGCTTACCACCTTTTTAAGCATGGGTGTCTCCTAGCTTGAGTAGGTTTGTCTTAGCTGAAACTCCTCGTTCAAGTGTGTGTCTCTGCCGTGCCAGGCCACTCAGTGGAGGGAGGAGAGCTGCTGTAATGAAGTCATCCTTGGCAGAGTTGGTTCTGCTCTCGCCCTCCCTTCTGAAGTCTCTTCTCCCACCTCCATGCCCTGAGGTGTTGATTTTCTTTCCTATTTGCTTGTTGTGATTTAGAGATCTGTCCTCCTTTGATGCTGTTGTGGGAAGGGATTTTGTGTGTTCAGGGTTTGCTTTTTATTTTATGTCTCGCTGGGTGCTGCTTTAACCGAAAGAGCAGGTGGGGAGGGGCAGCCCTTGCCAGCCCCACCTCAAACCATAAAATGTGAGCACCTGAAGCTATGTTTTAGTTGGCTTGCTGCTGTACTGTCTGTTTTATGAGAGTTATTTACCAGGACTTAAAAAAAGTCTTCCTTGCCAAGGCTTTGGGCCATGCCAAGGCTTTGCCGATGACACAACCGGCTCTAGCAGCGTGGAGGTGATTGCTTCAGCTGGCGTCCAGCCAGCTGACACCTGCATGAGCTACTTTCCAGCTCTTCTTCATCGCAGGGGCGAAGAAGCTGTAGCTTTCTGCAAAGCACCTCAAACAGATGGTCTTTGCAGTGTGCCCAGGAAGTTATCAAAGGGTATAGGCTGCTTGCTCC